ACCCATGACCTTGATGTTATAAGGCTGTACTCTAATCAACTGAGCTAACCAGCCATTTTTTTAATGGTTGAATTCATTTGGATATTAAGTCCCTTGCCTTTCACATCAATTGTAACATTTTATTTTTTGCAGAAGCATTTATTCATTGTCAAGTACTCTGCAAAAATGTCACTCACTATCACTTCCCTTGTCTTGTTGTCATCATGTTGCCAGATAACATCTACTATGAATTTTTATGTAGTTCAATGGAAGAGCATATGTACAAAATATCAGTCTTGTGAATTTGAAAATTAATTTTCCTCTACCCAATTTTCAAGGGATATTGAAAAATTAATGGAGTACCATCTCATTGTCTGAAAAATTAAGTCATTTCTACATGAGCCTTAGGAAAAAAATCTCAGCTGTACATACCATTTGGCCCAACTGTTAGTACGAGCCTTATTTGGAATGGGACTGAGTATGCAGAATTTGGAAGTCATGGTTATAGTCTTGTTATATTCTGATGGGAAAATTTATCAAAATATTTATTAAATCCTATACATATGGTTTCATTCTAAGGCATGCATGGACACCTCCTAAATGCCCAGCTGACAGAGAGATAGTCCAGACACAGGCTGCTGATTTCTGTTAGAGCTGGGCCTCTCCAAGGATTTGTTTCAACGATACTTAAAATGTTTTCCAAGATGGCTAAGGAAGGTCTATTTCAGATTGTTAAAGAGGATGGATAAAATTAGAATTGTGTCTCAGTAATATAAGTATCATGAATCATGAACAATTGCAGTGGCTGTTTCAGTTGAGATATTTTTCAAAGACATAAAATCATAATTGCCAAATGCACTCATATGAGAGGGAATATTTTTTCCTCTCACAAGGCTCATATTTCTTATAAGGAAGACATAGTGAGATTTTCAATGGCTAATGCCTGTGAAGTATAAAGTAGTGAGTAATTATTAAAAAACTATTTTATAACATTTGATTCAGTAAACCTCTTTAATTATTTGAAGAAAAATTCTTTAGGATGAGAGAGGCAAACAGCCATCCTAAAAGAAAAACGTGATGATTGGAATCATAGAATGGCTAACCCTTTACTTACACGCTATTTGAAGAAAAATTCTTTAGGATGAGAGAGGCAAACAGCCATCCTAAAAGAAAAACGTGACGATTGGAATCATAGAATGGCTAACCCTTTACTTACACGCATCATATGCCTAAATGGGGTAGAGACATGCTTTATCGTGAAGTTTACTGTCTGAGTCATAACATCTTTGCTGTTTATTGTTAATGAAAAAAAAGACAGTTAAATGAGAGTAAGTACAAAGAGAACATGCTCTTCAGCAAAAAGCATATGTCTTAAAGAATGCAGCCATATTCACATTTTTGTAACTTGGTCACTTTTAAACATGAAGTGCCATGTGACATGAAGATATATACTGTTAGTATCCTAGATATCTTTATAAATAAAGGTAGATGTTGGGTAGGTAAATAATTTTGAAGTAGTCCTCTCGGTGGATAATTGTATAGGTTACATTATTTTTTAAATTATCAGTCATCTTTATAATTTAAATTGAAATGACTTATCTGACTAAAAATATTATCTTTTTATTCTCGATAACATATAAATTTAAAGTTGGTTTAATATGATTCATTCTTTAACAATTAAAACTTCAAGTTAGGTAAGTTAGACATGGATGGGTAAGCATGACTTCTATAAAGAATATTGATCACATATTGCATTTCTTCACTTTCAAAACAGGCTTACTAACAACATCTTGTCCCTTGGATTATGAAATAAAAACTCAACACGTTCTGACTCTTCTGGCTCTGGATGACGGCATGCCAGCACTTTCTTCATCCCAGACTTTGACAATTACTGTTCTTGATGTAAATGATGAGGCACCAGTATTTAAGCAGCACCTGTATAAAGCTTCCGTTAAAGAAAACCAAAATCCAGGAGAGTTTGTCACAAAGGTTGAAGCTGCAGACAGAGATTCAGGTAATTTAAAAATATGGAAACTAGGGTGGAGCCCGTGGCGCACTTGGGAGAGTGCGGCGCTGAGAGGGCAGCAGCGCTCCTCCGTGGGTTCGGATCCTATATGGGGATGGCCGGCGCGCTCACTGGCTGAGCGAGGTGCAGCTGGTCTCAAAAAGGACCAAAAAAAAAAAAGGAAACTAGGTAATTAACACCAAAGGAAAACCTCACAATTATAATTGATATGATCTAAAATATTTATGGCCCAGAAAAACTGAACAGTTGCTAATTATCTCAAACTTCTAATACTTCTTCATTTGCATACACACAAAAACACATACACATGCAAAGATGAGTGCTTTTGTATAGCTTTGCTTGTACTGATCTTTACTACTATTTATCTTAGAGTGATGTTCACCTAATTAACATACAATTTGTTGATTTGATCTTGATAATAAACCTAAGTATAGACAAAGCATCACATTTCTTTCAGACTGTAATAGTTAGATACATTGAGTATAAGAAGATAAGGGGTTATTTCCTCTCTCTATGGCATAGAAGAAGAGCTACAGTGCTGGTGTTAGACGGCCTGGGTTTGAACCCTAGAACTACCGCTTACTTAAGCTATGTAACCTTGAACACGTTACTAATCCTTCTGTTCCTCTGCTTATCTGTAAAGTGGAGATAATAACAGTGCCTAATTTGTACTTCGGTTATGGGTATAGATGAGTTATTACATGTAAAGAGCATAGACCAGTGTTTGGCACAATAGTAGTAAATAAATATTAATATCCATCATTACTGTTATTACTGTTATTATCAATATCTTCCAGTGTGTCCAGACAAACATCTTTGAANCATTACTGTTATTACTGTTATTATCAATATCTTCCAGTGTGTCCAGACAAACATCTTTGAATTGAACAATTATGGTGGCAAGGAATTTATAAAGCTCTTAGACTTGCTTTTCAATATCACTATGGCTCTTTTGGCATTTAAGTTTTAATAACTTTAATAGTATTCTGTTTTTATTTTAAAATAATCATAAACATTACAGTGCAGTGTTTTAACAGCATGTACTGAATTTCCCCATCTGAACTAATATGAATAGTTTAATAAGCCAGTTTTTATGAATTTACATTTGTATATAGCAAGTGGCACTACATATCAGCATAATATCTTGTTCTATTCTTGCAAGAATTGTCAGAGATATTTCTATGGAAATAATAGCATCAACAGTAGCATTTTCCCCCTAAATTGTTAATCAAAGGGGTAAAAAGATGCATTTATTTGAGCTTTTAAACTAAATTATATACCATTTTATGCTTTGCCCTTTAGGAAAACATCATCTTTTAGTGAAATGCATTTTGTGTGAATTTGTATGCCAGGAGCACTTTATTTTCAAGGGCTAACCTAACTTTCTCTCTTTTGACCAGAGCGGGGCAGTGTGATCAAAGAGTTTTTCTTACCAGGCTCAAAGACAGGCAACTAGAGCATGCTAACATGTGTTTGTCCCATCTGTGCTCAGAGAATTTATTTGGCACATTTCTGTTGGTATCCCTTTTTAAGGTGTTAGAAACTATGGGGAATACACATAAGCTTTGTGTTTCTCAATAATTTCAGTTCACTAACATTCTCTTAAAGTGTTCACTGTTGTAAACAGAGCAATACAGAGCCCTGGGCAACACAAAAAATTACTTCCTGAAGTATATACCACAGTACTTCAAAAGTTCAT